AAAAAAAACCCTTTTAATTTATATTATTAATACCATTAACAAAAACGATACTCAATTAAAAAAGGTTGTCATAAGGTAATACATTATAGTGCACGTTAATATATACACAAACATTTCTTATCTTATTATTTAATACTTTGAAATAAAAATACCATATTTAATTGCAGATAACTTACATGACCGCCCATCGACAGCCCAGTAATTCCTAATGGCCCAAAACCATTTCGCTCGCACCAGTGTAGTAATACCAGACATTCAAGTATTAAACAGCCACCCATTACAAATATATCTGAGACGTTATGTAAATTTGATCTCCTAAAAAACAACATTATAAGATTATTTAAATATATTTTAATATACATATAATAAAATTTTTGTATATTTATATGTTCATTTATTTGCAACAGTAATTAAAATAGCTTTGAAGTAATTGAAAAATCAATTACATAAAAGGATAAGTCAGCATAAAAATATACTAAAACAAATTAATCCCGATAAACAATCAGCCTTAGTCTCACACTTTATTGACAAAAATTATTACCCAGATTTTGCTTCAGTAAAGGTCATTAATACTGAACATTCCTTGTCTCGACGCCTTACTCTGGAGTCCTTACATATTATGACTAGACCAACATACAATTTGCGGCGATATATAGACAATATTTCTGTTGTCTATTGGGTATTGCTAGAAAAGTCATTCTAAAGAAAAACTCATTGTACATTTTTCGTTGTAATTATTTAAAACGTATGTCAAAAAATTTTTTTCATATGCAAATTTTATTCTATTGTTGTTTTAAAAAATTTTTTACCCTGATGACGGTCTTAAACAACCGAAACGTCGGAAATATATATTAAATAAATAAAACAATAAAAAAATTCTTATTGAAAAACCGAATCAAAAAATCTGACTAATAGCCCAACACTCATCTATAATAAAGTTTAATTTTTTTATCATTGTCGTAAAGATTTTAGTAGTCTATTGCAAATCATTTCTTTTTCATGCATGCATGTCTTCCATAAAAATCTCTTATCCATAATTATTCTCAGGTAATTTACTTTTTCTTTCCAGTTTATTTCTCTGTTGTTAATCCTGAAATTTTGAGGGTTTCAGTTTCTTTTCAATGCTTAGAAATCGATTATATTTTCTCTGCATTTATCTTAAACTTCCACCGTTTGAAGTATTATTCTAGTTTATCTATATTTTTTAGAAAATTTGTTGTGATTTGGCTTTCCTTTTTGTTGAAATGCATAATGCAAGGGTCATCGGCATATATAGCAAACATAATGAATTTTTCTATATTTTCAGTATATCAGCTGTATATAAGTGAATAAGTTATACAAAATTGGTAACAGAGGTTATTCTTGAGGCAATCCTGCTTCCATATTTCTTGTTGATAAGAAAACCCTGACTTACTTAATTTCTAATTTTGGAAGAAACTTTCGGTGATTTTGATTAATTTCGGTAGAATTCCTTGTTGTTGCATTTTGAGTATTAATCCATCATGCCAAACCTTATCAAATACTTTTTTAATGTCGAATATTACCATTCTTGTATATTTCCGTTTGCTCAATGCTTTCAGAACTGTTTGTGAAATTCTTGCAAGCTGCAATTCTATCGAATCATCTTTGTTAAGTCCATACTGCTCTGGAAAAATCAAAATTTTCTCTTCAACCATGTCTTTTAATTTGGAGAGAATCACTTTTTCTACTATTTTACCTTGAGTTGGCAATAAGCTTATTGGTTTCCAATTTTGCGGAAAATTAGGTTTTTTCCTGGTTTAAGGAACACAATAATTGATACTGTATTTCAGGCATTTGAAAAATTTCCTTGGCGAAGTGCTGTATTTATGACATTTGCGATCATATTTATGGTAGCTATGGTAGATTTTTTTTAACATTTATTCTTGATGATTGAGATTGCTCACGACTTTACTTTTCTCCTCTGGTTCAATTGGGCTTAAGCCTCTGTCTCTACCTTTGATTTATCTTAGGTGCTAAATTGTATGCCTTCTTCTCCATGCATTGGTGGAATAAATACTTTGTTCTTGAACCGAAAGTATTTATTGAGACCCCAGACGGTCTCATCGTCTATATCTAAGCTCTCCGTAAATTCCTCCCATTTTTTTTAAGTAATTGCCCAATTTTCTTTATTATTAGATTGGTTAATCTGTTTCCTTCTATTCGTACTGTTAGATCAGTCATTTTTGGGCACTATTGCTGTAAAAAAAAGGGGATCGGTAATTCCTATTTATGGAGAAATTGCAATATAGTGCGTCGTTTGCACTTTTCTGCCTCTTTAATTTAACCCACGGCTCGAATGAGTTTGTTCAAATGGAAAAAAATGTATTTACTACACACAATTTGTGTATTTGTTAAAGAATTTACCAAATTGCACAGAATTCAATAAAAAAAGTAAAATAAAATTTACACGCACTTTTGTTTAATGTGCACACAAGAAAACTTTATTAAGATCAAAAAAATAAGATTATAGCAACAAAAATAAAAACATGTTCTTATTACATAGTGTTCCACAAAATTTGTTACAATTGATTATCGTATCTTTTATTATTTTAGATAGATCAAAGAAGTTTTGCGCTTTGATTAGTGGGAGCTTTAGAGTTTGTAGCTATCTTTATTTTCTCTATTAAGAGAAAATCCTTATCAGTTCCTTCTCTAAGACTAATATTTTAACCTATTACTGCCTGTCTAGTAATTCCGTAAGTATTTTCCAGTCCGTTATTTTCGTTGATTTAAGTATGTCAAAGAAACAGTTCTCAATTATGAATAGTACAATGGTTCCAAGAACGGCCGGGTTTACGTCCCGGAGCCACTCGTCAAAGACGACCAAGTGTCGTTCGACCACCCCCAAAGGGACTTCACAAGCAGGTATGTGTTTGTTTGACATATATCGTATATATGTGTTTTTCCCACTAAGAAGCAAGTTCCGGCCATCTTGCTTCTTATGTTACTTCTAATAGCCGGTATTGAATCTAATCCTGGTCCTGCCATACCAGCTATTTCAAAATGGCACTGCTCTGTCTGCAACAATATTATTAGCAGAAACCAAACATCTGTTAGGTGCAATAGTTGCAATAACTGGTGCCACCTTCGTAACTGTTCAGGTCTGCATAGCCATACCGATTGGAACTCTGCCTTTAGAGGAGATTGTTGTCCAACTTCTCCTCCAGTTAAAACATCTACATCTTCGTCAAACACTGTCAGTCCGTTTCCAATCAATGCCATCCAATCTCCCCCCATGCTATCCCCTTTGTCTACCAATTGGCTATGCACAATTTGCAATCGAGCAATAAAACTTTAATTAATATTTTTTGTAAACAACGTGGTATTAATATAGTTCATTTTAATGCGAGAAGTCTTTCTGGCTTAAAATTAGATCGTGTAAGAGCTGTTTTTGAAGACAGCAAAGTAGATGTTATCTGCATTTCTGAGACTTGGTTTGACTTCCATCTTGATAGCTCATACCTATCTATAAGCGCCTTTGTTTTATTTCGGCATGATAGGAAATATAAATTGGGTGGCGGCGTTGCTATTCATTGTAAATCATATTTAAAAAGTCAATTGATCTGTGTATCGGAAGATAATGAAATTGAATTTATATGTGTATGTATTTATTTAGGTAGTCATAAAATCCTTGTTACATGTGCTTATAACCCCAGCAAAAGGTACTGTAGTGGTCCTATTTTTGAATCCCTCCTTCCTATTGCTGTCAATTTTGATTTTTTTGCTATATTTGGTGATTTTAATACCGATATTCTTTTGAGCAATGCTAAAGTGTCTGCACTGAATGACCTTATAGCTATGGTTGGTCTAAGCATTTGTAATTAGTTTATTGTTACATCTTATAGAAATACTTTAAAAATCAAAGACTTGTCGTTTTGAGTGTTCTTAAGAAACTGTTTTTATTAAATTTTATTTCTTAACTCTAACATCAATTCTTACAACTAATTTCCAATAGAATCTTATGTATCGATTCTATTGGTTGATACATACATTTACTTACGTTTACTTACGTCTAATTGGTTAACCCAAATTAGACGTACATAATAATTTACAAATATTATTTATTTACTTATTGGTCATTTATTCATATCTATTTCACAGTGGCACACATCTGGTAACCAACTGTATTGAGGACAAATCATATTGCATGCATAATCGCTTGCAATATGATCTGTGAAAAACTTAACACAAATTCATGTGTTTAGCATGCCACTATCCAAATTGTCAAATTGCATATTGAAATAATTAAATATGCATACAAATATTTTGTCATAAGGAAATGACAAAATAGACGAGTCAAATTTCTGACTCATAAATTATTTTATATTTGACAATTAGGTTTTTCGGTCATGCTTGATATTTGAGAGTTTTGGGTTGGCATGACACATTAAATACCGCACACAACGTATTGTGTGTGGTCATGGTTAATATGCCACTACACCCTCACCCTTTAAGAAAAATTTTTATTTTTGAACAAAGTTAAACAGAAAAATTTTTAAAAATATTATTTTTTTATTTATTTATCTTTTTGAATTGACCATGACCTTATATTACAAATTTGGCATAACATATGTATGTTAAGTAGCATATGTTTAGTTCTTAAATTTTAGGACTTAATAAATAAATCATAGGCTTTATTTATGTAGATATATTTTGATATATTATAACATAGTAAGTATATATATAGCATAATTATGTAATTCATTATAATTATTTCATTAACATTATAAAATTTGTTAAAGTATCTAATAATTTTAAAGTTAATTTAAATTGTATATGTATTTAATAATAAGACAATATTGTAATGTTATACTTAAATTGTGAATTTTATTTTAATAAAAAAAAATATATATATTTTTACTTCATTTTCTCCTGAATAACTTCGTGTTATTTTTATGTAGAGTTTTCGTTTCATTTCCAATGTCGATACTAACATTACTATCCTTTATTTTGATTACTTTATAGGGACCTGTATATGGGCTTGTGCCTTTTCGTGTTCTGTGAGTTTTTATTAATATTTCGTCACCTACATTTAAATTTATTGGCGAACTATTTTTCTTTGAAATTTCTTTTCTCCTAGCTTTTGCACTTATGCTAAACTCTCTTGCTCTATCAAGGGATAATCTTAGCCTTGCCTTTAATTCGTTGGCATAATTTTCTAAGTTAAATATTCCCTGATTGCTATGTATTTGTTCATTTGGTAATGATGGTAACTTACCGAATACTAATTCATGTGGGGAGTAGCCTGTGTCAACGTGTGGGGCAGTATTATAGGCAAAAGTATAATATGGTAA